TTTAATAAAGGCCTTTAAAACTGATAGTTCAAATAAAGTCTCTGCCAATGGAAATTCCAGGAAAGGAGCTTTCAGAAAAATCCTGCATGGAACCTAAAAAGTAAAGCAAGCAAAATAGCCAGCTGTCTCCCTCTGCGTTTGTGAAAGGCTGGGAGGAGGGCTGGCATAGAGCATTCAGGCGGGTGCAAAAGACAGGGCCTGCCATGTGAGGTGTAGCAGGTCTCAGGAAAGGCGGCTTGGCTGCTAGAACCTGTTGGCAGCCAGGAGATCTGGGGGTCACTTGGGAGGATGTGAGGGCTTGGAGTGGCGTAGTGTCCTCTGCAGGGGTAATCGATAATTTGATAGTGAGATCGGACCCACCACTTCTTGGCCACTTACTCTGAGCCAGGCTCTGAGCTGGGGGCTTTATCTCACTGATTCATTGCAACATCTCTATCGTTTCCCCCTTTTTACTGATAAGGGAGATTAAGTCAGTTGCCTCTAATCACACAACTGGTAAAGGTAGTGCCAGGATTTGCACCAGACTGTCAGATCTTAGAGCTTTGACAGCCTCTGAATGGGCGGGTGCTTTGAGCCTCTGGATGGGTGGGTGGGGGATCCCAATGAATCCACCTGATTTCCAGTCCGGCCTCAAGCAATTGACTGAATAATGCACAATACAGGAGCATCTCTGGCAGTAAGTATTCCGTCTCCATGGGCCATATGACACACTTAAAGCTATAGGAATGGCTCCAATTTCACATAAGTAATTAACACCAACTTGAGATCCTTACCAAGTTAAACTAAATCGGTAATGGAGACACTTGGTTCTTAATCAGGAAAATTGTATATGTGAATCCTCACGACGGATTACAAGAGGGCAAAGCGGGTCGCGTGATTCCCGGGGCTGAAAGCTGAGTTTTCCGTATTTGAGGAAGTGTGTGCACTGTAGAGCACCAGTTTCACCACAGGCTGAATCCACATCACAGAGCACATTGGAGGAAAAAACACGGTTGACAACAATTTAAATAATAACCATGCTTCTAACGTGGGTCTTGATCTCGAGAGTTTTGCGGGACGAATACACACTAACTTGGTGGATCTGAACATCCGGTGCTTATTTATGCTCTAGGGAAATACTACCGGCCAGACCTGAACTTCCCTTGCAGTCTGCCCAGACGGAGCAATGGTATCAAAGACTTTGAAAACGATCCACCGTTATCGTCTTGTGGAATTTTCCAGTCCCGAATGACAGGTATGTTTGAGTGTCATTCTGGTAGGAATAGTAGCAATAATCATAGCAATGATTACAGCTAATGTACATTGAGCCCTTGCTACATGCCCAGTAAGGTCAGTGTCAGCGTTATCCCCACTCGACTGACGAGGAAGCTGGGGCACAGGGAGGTTAAGCAAGTTGCCCAAGGTCACACAGCTAGTAAATGGAAGTGCAGAGATTTCACTCAGGAATGGCTGGTTGGGGAAGTCGGGAGGAATGAAAGACAGGCATGGAAAGAATCAGAGAGGGGAGGAAAAATCAAGGATGGCATTTAAATATAAAAAACCACATCTTCTCTTTGATTTTATTTCAAAGTCTGTCCCTTTGGGGATCTTGCTTTATGTCTGGGGTTCTGGTTCCACGTGATTGACTTTTTAGATGTTGAGTTCATCTGGAGCTCATTTTATGAATTAAGAAACTCGAATCAAGAACCGGGAAGCTGCGTGGGCTTCCCAAGTTGCACAGCGGGTTAACTGAAGGGACGTGCTGGGAGCCGGTGCTGCTGGCTCCTCGCTCAGTGGTGTGCGGTAAACGCTGGGTCCCCGGCTCTCTGGGCAGGGCGGGGAAGCCCTGATTTCTAGCGTTTGCTGATTTCCGTGGTTTAAATACTGTGTTCATGCCATGGCTGGTTTCAAGCTACTGATCTAAGGTCCCTGAACGTGGAGTTGGGAGAGGTGACACAGTCAGCCCTCCCACGATTAGATGTGACCTGCTTCACATGGCACTTCTGGGCTCCTTCTTCTGCAGTGCACTGTGGCCTGTGTGTGTGTGTGTGCGCGCACGCGCGCGTGTGTGCTGGTACATGTGCCCCCTCTGTAACGTACCTCTGCAGCTCTGTGTTTCATGGGTAAATCCTCCCCTAGATGTTTGCACAGCTTTCCGTGTGCCATGTGTGTGTTTGGGAGTATCTGTGAATGGGTATCTGCCTGGGCAATCGCCGGCCTCTGTATTCGTTTCCTGTGGCTGCCATAACAAAGTCCCACAGACGGAGTCACTAAACGGACAGAGATTTATTATCTCGCAGTTCTAGAAGCCAGAAGTCTGAGATCAAGGAGCCAGCAGGGTTGTTTCTTCGGAGGGCTGTGAGGGAAGGATTGTTCCAGCCCCCTCTCCTTGGCTCGTAGATGGCCATCTTCTCCCTGTGTCCTCACATCATCTTCCCTCTATGCCGTCTCTGTGTCCAAATTTCCCCTTTTCATAAGGACACCAGTCAGATTGGAGTAGTGCCCACCCTAATGACCTCATCTTAGCTTGATCACCACTGTAAAGACCCTATGTCCAAAGAAGGTCACCCTCTGAGGTAATGGGAGTTGGGACTCCAACATATGAATTTGGGGGACACAATTCAGCCCATGGCAGCACCCACTACAACCTCACTGGCTTTGGTACTGTGTAGACTTTGTACTGAAGAGATCCCCTGCTTTCCCAAAGATCAGG